TTAAGCAGGTTTGCATGGGCTAAGTGGGTCAGAGGTAAATGATGATGTATGCAGAACCTTGGAACAACAGACTCCACAATACAGGGATTGAGGCATGGTTTAAATGGGTAAAAGAGGGCAATAATATTAAGATGCTTGGCTGTCTTTTGAATCTTGGTTTCCCTTGCCTACCTACCATTGTAAAATAGACAGTTGAAGCGGGATGAAAGGAATAGCCAGAAGCATCACACTAGAAAGCTTGTAAATCCGTCTTCAGCCTATAACTGATTGAATACCTTAAAGGGGCTAGAAGTTGCCCAGATAAACAAGTTTCCTGTGGAGCCTTTGCAATGCACAAGACCATAGGTGGAATCCTGAACCCCATCCAGAGTCATCTGAGGTGGGAAATTTCCACTTGAAAGAACAAGTAGACCAGCCTGGAGCAGCTAGAAGAACAGAAGATACTTCGTGAAAGAAAGACTGGCAGGAAAAATCAAAAACAATAATGGCAGTTTGATTGGCTACTACAAGAACAAGCAAGCTGTTCACCCAGGAGCCATCAAGGCAAGTGGTTAGGTCCCCTCAAGACAAACCGCCTTCCAAGACTAAGACTCAAGGAGAATACACAGGTAGGCCTGTGGTCTGGCTGATAACCACGTTGGTTATCGATAAGGAGAAAAGGAAAAAAAACAGCAATGAAGTTGGGAGCTAAGTGCAACCACATTCAATAAACTCCTGTGAACCAGGGTGGAAACCTGGTTGGCCAGCAGTATGGCAAGACCCGGGGACTCCTGGGCCCAGAGGCAGTGACATGGCCACAGAAGACTAGACCGGAAAACAAAGCGTCCAGCTGATATGAGGTGAGGGGTGATGCACAAGAACACCCATATTTGCATATAGTACTCACTTGACCGGGCTTCAATGGCTGGATGATCAGAACTTGACTGGAAGAAGAAAGGAGAGGAAAAAAAGAGTAACCCGCTACAATTTGATGAACTTTACCTATACATTTAGATGTAGTAGCCCAGAAAAAGGAACAATCCTTTACAGCAAGGATCACTCCCATGCCATTGGTACACAGGGTTGACAGAGATGGGCAACTTAGACAATGGCTACCCAAAATGGGGGGGGGGGGGAAGAGATGGGCTACAAAGGCAAGAAGTGACTCAATCTTTTTAGATGGAGCATAGTTTCAGATGGGGCGAGGGAAGGTACAATCTCCACTGAATGATTTCCAACCTGTTGGGACAGGGCTAATGAAAGGAGATGGGGATAAGATTCAAGCGATACAGTAGTGAATAATTGCTATCAGGACTGACTGTGAGGGTTGGAAATGTAAAGGTAGATGTTTTGTAACAAAAGGAGGGGTTTTGACTGATTTTGCAATCCAGGAGCGAAGATACCTGGGACCATCAAGGAAGAAGTGAGGAGGGTGGGACCCTACCCACAGAAGCAGTGACACCAGATATGGAGACAGAGACGATGACTTGGACAAATGGAGCAGCTGGGGACACTAGACTCAGGGAGGAAGAGGGGCTGTGTGCTGACTTCTGGGGGCAGGCCTGTGGGGTATACCCTTTGGTTGTTTGATGATGCATGGAGGGGACTGTAATCATTGCACTGAAATGAAATATGATAGGATGAATGTAAGACTGACGTTCTCTGATGTAAACCCACATAATTCACAATAAAATTTTTTTTTAAAAAAAGGTCTATTGGTTTAAAAGCATCAAACTTTCACTAAACTCTCTGAAATAGATCTTGTAAAAATGGGAGGATAAAATCAGCAATAAGTGTTCTCTTATTGAGAGAACTAAAATAAATGGTGAACCAACCAATTATTTTAGTGAGCTACTGATAACAGAAAATAACAGTGAAGAGATTCAGCTAGTAAAATGTCACCATGAAGTTTCTGAGTACCTTATGAATTAAATGATGTCTTTATTGTGCTTGTTTTCTAATAAATATAAAATTCTTTCAATTGCTGTTCAATACTAAATTTAATTTTTAACATATTAGGATTCTTACCAGAAAATAACATTTCGAATGTCACAAACAATACAAGTATGATGATACCAATTGTTTCTGGAATTATGAGTAGTACTATTTCTATCCCTCACCAAGCATTTCCCTAGCAAATAACCCCATGATATATTGATGCTTTTGAGTTATGGTGTTGGAGGAGAATACTGAAAGTGCCATGGGCTGTCAAAAGGACAAATAAATCCATTTTGGAAGAAGTGCAGCCAGAGTGCTCCCTGGAGGCCAAGATGGCCAAACTTTGTCTCTCATACTTCAGAAATATTGTCAGGAGGGAACAGTCACTGGAGAAGGATATTATGTTTGGTAAGGTGGAGGGTTAGAGAAAAAGAGGAAGACCCTCAGTGAGATAGATTGGCCAAGTGGCAAGCATCAATGGACTCAAGTGTGGCAACATAGTGAGGTTGGCCCAGGATCGGGCAGTATTTCATTTTGCTGTGCATAAGGTCGCTGTGGGTCGGTACCGACTCGATGGCACCTAACAACAACAACAGTATTTTTAATAATATCACATGAATAATGTCTGTTTCAGCCTGGTTTTCTTTGACTAAAAATAGGTCATTACTGCTCAAAGAGCTTTTGATTAATTTAGTTGCTTGCCCATCAAATTCCATGTTATATATTTTCTTCAAGTCTCCAATTCTGAATTGGTTGCCATTTCTATAGACAAAGATCTATATATCTCTATCATCATTAAGATGATTTTTTACTATAAGATACAAAGACTCCTGGTGTAGCATTGTAGAATCAGCACTGGACTGTGAACCACAAGTTCAGCAGTTCAAACCCACCAGCTGCTCCTCTGAAGCTCTATACAGGGTCACCCTGAGTTGGAACCAACTCAAAGGTACTTAACAACAACACATAAGTTCTTTCAACTACCCTTCTTCTTTTCCCAAAATATCTGTTGCTTCTTACCTAAAATTTTATCATTCCCTGATCTGTTGTTGTTGTTATTGTGAACTGAGTTAAAGTTTATAGAAGAGATCATGAGTTTTACATTCAATAAATCATATGCTTTGTTTTATCTCAATGAGTGCAATCTCCTCCATGCAACAAAAGCTATCATACTTCCTCCCTATAGTTCCTATTTCTAATCCACCCACCGTCACATCTCTTCTTAACTTTGTCCTTAGGTAAATGTTGCCCTTTATATTTTGAGTGATGGACCTTTCCAGAGTAAGCATACCTTACTAGTGTTGTTGTCCCCTCTCTATACCTATCAACTGCCTAGCTGAAAATTGATGCATGTGGGTAAGTTCTTTGCAGATCTAAAGAGTGGTGAGGCCATAGTCACAGGTTCCTCCAGTCTCTTTCTGACCAGTAATCCCAGTCTTTTATTATAATTTTGAATTTTGTTCCACATTTTCTCCTACTCTAATGTGATCCTTTCAGAGCAGTTGATAGTGGCACCATTTAGTTCTTGGTTTCAGAGTCATGAAGACTGATGTTCACATGTTCTCTAAGTCCATTGGACTAATTGCTTCCAATCATCTTCAATTCTTCTTCTTTCTTCTACACATGGGAGACCTACAGTTGCACCTTAGATGGCCGCTCATCAGCTTTCAAGATCCCAGACACTACTCACCAAAGTAGGATGTAAAACATTGTTCCTTCCCTGACTTTTATAAAAATTGGTTTCTCCCTTTTTCCAATGGTACATTCTCTCAACTTTTGCTTATAAATCCCCTTCTTATAGGTCTCAGTTTCCATCCCAGTCTCCTCTGCTAACTCCTTCCCCTTACTTTCAAGTACCTACAAGTTCTCTTTGACTCTAATCCACACATTTTCAATTTAAAAGGATCCTTTTCATGATATTACTTCAAATCCTTCCATAGTTCTCTAAAATCTATAGGTTCTCCTAACCCAAGTATCTTTTCAAGGCATTCATAGTTCTTCCCCAACTGACCTTGGCTGACATTTCCAAACTACTACTCTCCAAAAGAAAATCTTTGTGTTTACTAGACTGACTCATACTATGAATATGCTTGAATCATTATCTGCCCTGATTTTGGCAATGCTGTTAGCGTCTCTTTAAATTATCAAGACTTATCTTCATTTTTCCAATTTCTAAGGTTCAGCTTTAATTTTCTTTTTTCTGTAAAGCTTCCTTCATAGCCTTAGGCCACATTGAATCTACCTTTTTCTGACTCCCTATAGAGTTTACAAACCAAATCCTAATTTAGCATTTAATATAAAAAACCTTCAATTTACATTTGAGTTATGTTTAAACCTGCATCCTTTCCTTCAAACTCCCATCCTAATCAACCAACCAACAACCTAACATTTTCTGAGTAGTCACTGTCAGTCACTCTGGTGGGTCCAGGAAATAAAAGAAAATAATTTTCTTCTTATATTGCATTATGATTTTCTTCAGAACTCATAATACAATGCAACTCTCAGATAATCAAAAGTATTTACTGAATAGATGAACAGCATACTACTGATAGACTATTAGTAGTTACTGCTATTCCAAAGATATATATATATATATATATATATATATATATATATATATATACACACACACACACACACACACACCACAGAGATCATGCAAGAGCTGAAATACTTGTGTGAGATCAGTCCTAATTGATGACCATTTTGAGAGTCAAATAAACCACTGATTTAAAAGTAATATTATCTAGTAAACATATTTCAGTACATTATTAATAACTGCTTATACCCAGAATATTATAGTTCCAAAAATGTGCTTCCCAAGTAGAAAACATGAATATCAAAACATACAAGCAAAGAAAGAAAACAAACAGTAGCTGTTTGTTTTCTTTCCTATATGCTGGTTGCTATATGGTTCAAGCTCACCAGCCACCCCTTGGGAACCCTATACAGGATCCGCTATAAGTCGGAACCAACTCAATGGCACTTAACAACAATGCTACTTAAACACATCCAAATTACCAAATTATTGTATATTCTCTTATTTCCAAAACATGAATCTTAAAACTGCATATTCTACATACCTGTCCAGTCTCCTACTATTTTAAGATGGACTCCAAACGTTGCTTTGGTTTCAGTAGGACACTAAAATAAATAAAACACTTGAATGAATTTTGAATAATAAACACACATTAGCAGACTATGATTCAATTAGAACTTCTATTCTCATAGCAAGTCCCCCAAATCAATAGAAACTAGGACGGAACAGAGAAAAAAATCTACATATTGTTGTTGTTATGTGCTGGCAAGTCAGTTCCGACTCATAGTGACCCAGCATAAGGTATCTGAGGAGCAGATGGTGGGTTTGAACCTTCAACTTTGTGGTTAGCAGTCCAATGCTCATCCTGTATCACCACACCAGGCTTCCTAAAATCTATATTCATTGTTAAGTTCTGTTGAGTGGGTTGCGACTCATAGCAACCTTATTATAGGGTTTCTGAGGAGTGGCTGCTAAGTTTGAATAACCAGCCTTGCAATTCAAACCAACCTGCAGTCCAGTGCTTATCCTCCAGCACTACAAAGATCTTTATTATTAACGAGAAAAGCCATGCCTACCATTCAATGAGACAATTGGCTTTTCTCCAAATTTCTGTGTTTATATAAAATAATACACATGTAACTGAAAACTGTTAAAATATGTCTAGTTACAATTCTTGCGAAAATGTGCTTTGAGTTAAAATATTTTAAAGAATACAGCTTTTAATTAACACAAAGGAAGAAACAAAGAGTAATTTTAATGTCTTTTTCCCATTGTATAATAATACAATTATACATTTCACATCCTAACTAATGCCAGAGGAAATAAAAATCATAAGTTTTTAATGGGGCTGCATGTTCCATGTCTAACTGGAATCCTACTGAAACAGTGCAAGTCATCCCAGTGATAGCTAAGGTTATCCCTTCCTTTAATTTCAGAAGAAATGTGGAGACAACTGGTGACAATATCTAGGGCTAGGAATGAGTTGTGGAGCTTCAAGTAATAACAAGTCTCCTAATGGGATGTGGAACCACGTTTTAAAAATCTTAAAAAACAAATAACCAATAACAAGAACAAAAAGAAAGTAGACAAAATTAGAGAATAATTTTTAGTACACAATAAGAAATTGTAGACCTCCCCTTACTTCGCAGATATGGAAAGCTTATCTAAATTTGAATTTCAAAAAGTTCTGAAAAAGAAAAAAATCTTTTCCCTGAATTAAAAGAAGGCCAATAATGGGAGATTAGTTTTTCTATATAACAATTTATACAGTTATTTCCTATGAAATTACCAATTTGGTGAACAATGGTGTCTTACATCCTTCTAGGGGAATTAAGAATATATTAAGTATGTTGTTGTTGTTGTTAAGTGCCATCGAGTCGGGTCCGACCCATAGCGACCCTGTACAGGGTTTCCGAGGGTGTAAATCTTTACGGGAGTAGAAAGCCTCATCTTTCTCCCGCGGAGCGGCTGGTAGTTTCGAACCGCTGACCTTAAGGTTCGCAGCCCGATTCGTAACCACTACGCTACCAGAGCTCCTTCTTTTTAAAATTTGTACATTTTTTAATTTTGAAATTGTAGCTAACTCTTAGAACTATGGTAAGGGGTCATCTGCTTGTGATTATCCAACACCACCAAGTACCATTTGCCAAGGCTTGTACTATTTCCAAGATCTAATAATCACCCTATAAAGTTGCCTTCGACACACTAGTTGAATAATTTAGACTTAAAAACATTTACCTGTGCTCTAGTATAAACCCACTGTTGTCAAGTTGATTCCTACTCATTGTGATCCTATAGGACAGAGTCGAACAGCCTCAGAAGATTTACAAGGCTGTATGTAAATCTTTATGGAGGAGTCCTCGTATGGCACTATGGGTTAATGCATTGGACTGCAAAGTCAGTTTGAACTGCAAGGTCGATGGTTCAAACTCACCAACCACCCCTCAGAAACCTTATCCAGGGGCACTATGGTTGGAACCGACTCAACGGCACTCAACAACAACACAACAAATCTTAATGGAAGTGGACTGTGTCATCTTTCTCCCTTGGAGTAAGTAGCTTATGGATTTGAACCACCAATCTTTCAGTTAGCAGTCTAACGCTTGCCCCAGTGTGCCACCAGGGCTCCTTTCTCAAGAACATACAACTAGTACAAAAAAAGACTTTGGTCTGTCTGACTTGCTGGTTCTGAACTGTGGTGTCCCACTGTCTTAGTTAGGCAGATATAGGGGAAATAACTGAGGGCTGCACAAGAAATTAAATGGAGTTAAGAGGACAGAAATAATTTAACCAGAGAATAATAAATGTGCATCAATATGAATCAATGGGAAAGATAGATTTATTAAGTTAAAATTCAGGAACAAATAAAATAGTAGTGGTTTTGAAGGTTCCTCCAATTAGAGACTAAGTTATAGAGAAAGCATGTCTAATATCACTGAGCTTCACTGTGTAGGTAATTAAAGAATAAGCACTGGACTGCTAACTGCAAGGTTGGTGGTTAAAACCTAATAGCAACTCCTCAGAAACCCTACACTGGGTTGCTATGAGTACAAAACTGATTCGACAGCATTTAACAACATTGTAAGAACACTATAAGAAAAAGAAACAAAGGAGAAGGAATATGAAGATATGTTTGCAACCCACAGATAAAGTAAAAATAGTTTGGAAGTCAGTGAGAACATGAGCTAAAAAGTGAGGCATTACAAACCAACTAAAAAGCACATGATCTGATAAATGTTCACAATAAGAATTAATGTATCAAGGAATTTCCAAATAACTACTCTGAAATCAGTATTTTTAATATGATTGTTACTGCTAACAGTAGTATAAAATAGCAAAATAACTTGAAATACTTTTAAATCCTATTATTTAAATACTTACATTGTTATATATTCGTTTATTTCTAATTGTGGCTCTGATATTTATATCACTTACATGCTGGTTTTTAAAAACTCTGAAAGCAACTGGTTTTGTCATTAGTAAATCCTCAAGAGGATGTCATCTGTGAAAACTTCCCACCATTTCATTTGATACTACTTAAAGCTGGCTTAATGAAAGTTGTAGCTCATAGAAAGCAAGAATCCCAGTGTCCCATGTTACCACTAATATTTCCTTCACTGCAAGCTATATTTTCAACCCCATTTTTTTTTTTTTGAAACAAGAAAATAACACCCACAGAAAGATCTTAGAAATAAATCCCAGAAATTTCTTTTTGAAATACAAAAAATGAGGGTAGAGGTAAATTTCAAGGAATTTGTTAAAATATCGTCATAGAAGATACCTGTAAGAATGGATTTTTGCTGTTGTTATAAAGCCTAGCTAAGAAATGAATGGGCTTATACAGAGGAAAAGAAAAGATCTAAGCCAAGAAGATATCAGAATGGGAAGCAAAAAATATTGCCTTTGTGTCTGAGTATGCAATTGGCTTTAGTTAATCTTACAATATATTCTAAAACAAAATACATATTTTGCCAAATATATTTATCTCTGTTTTATTCTTTCAATAAAGACACTGTAAAATATAATGACAAATGATATTTACCATCCCCTTGGGTCTTCTAGGAGACTATAAACTTCTCTTTTCTTAGTGGTGGCCAAATGTATCAGTAGAGTTTCAAAGGCTAATATGCTTTCGAATAGATAAAACACAACACAGTTTCCCAACCCCTTGAGAATGAAGCCTTTAGAAATTACTGATACTTCCTCAAAGTACCTAAGAATAAATATAGAAACTTTAACATAGTTTTTATCTAAACATATCATTTCAAATTTAAAGGGGACCAGAACAGAATAATACAGAATGGCTTCAGAAAGTGTGATAGGAAATACTGACTAAAAATCTTAGAATCTTTGTACAATGTTCAAAATTCACGAATGTTGTCTAAAGTATAGTGCAGTATTCTTTAATGTTTTCTTGTCTTTGTAATTGAATTTCAAAAACTTCTCAAAGGGCAGAGATAAAATATTTATATTTATGATGATCTTGTTTCCCTTAGAACATTAATAATGAAATATGCTTATGGTAATTTTCTATTTTAAAAGTTACAGAATAATATGTGACATAGAGCTCACATTATTAAAATAAAAAGGCATAGATCAGTGTTTTTCTTTATGTGAAGAAAAAAATTGGAGAGAATGTGCAATAACCTATGAGAATATTAACGTCTGGGAAGTAGAACTGAACACAGAGAAAATGAGGACTCTCATATCTATTTCATATATACCTATGTTATTTGATTCTATTGTTAAGTCTATTTTATTTATTTATTTATTTTTAATTAGGTTTAATTTAAAACATAAACATTTAAAAATGTCTATAGAGTACAGCAGGAAAAAATGCAGCTGAGCACCTTAAGTCAGTTTCCTGATGTAAAGAAGGGGTTCAATCCATGTGGATCTTAATATCAATACTATATAGTATATATCATTCAACTTTAAGGCTATGAAAATTAAAAGTGACAATTTGAATCCAACAGCAGATCTGGACGAATGTGTACTTTCATATCCTGGAAAAAAAAATTACTTTTCCTTCCAGTTATTTATTCAGTATGGCTTTGAGTTTTTAATGTGTCTGAGTAACTAACGATTTTAAAACAGCCACATAAAAATATAAAAAGATATTGCTTAACTCTACTGTTGCTTTGAAACTAAATGTAAAAATGATGTCACTTAATAAGAATTTATTTTTTAACATGGAAAATAAATTTAAAAGCTTTGAAAAATTAAAACTTTTGTTTTTAAATCAAGAGCCTTGAAATAATAAAAAGTTTGGGGGAATAATATATAAAATTTCAATTTACCAAATTTGTTAAAACAGAGTAATTAATCATAGAACAGGATTCTCTTTACTCATTTTGGTCAGGTTTTAATTTTAATCCTTTTAGTAAAAACAGGTATTTCTCTTGCTGCCATCATTCAATTAATTTTCAAGTTATTTCAAATAATCTTAGCAAAGGAAATGTCTGATCATAGTCATCCCCCAACCTTTTGTATCTTACTGTGTTAAACCATTCAAATTCTTTCTTTTCTGCACTCTGAGGCCAATCACAATCTTCTCCCAAGTTTTCCAGCCTCATAATTTATCTTTCCTCTTCATTCATTCCAA